TATTTTAGTGCATCTTTAATTCCTTTTAACAATTTTTTTTTGTAACCTTTGTGATGGTAAAGAGTGAAGTAGTGACCGTAAAATATATTTGCATGTATTTCCAAGAATATTCAATCAATCACAAAAATATTTAGTAGAATAAAGATTGAATGTAATGTATTAAGAATTAACAATGTAGAAGTAAGAAAAGTCAAAATTCATCTTACACAGCCAAGAGGGAATCGCTTATGCCTAATTGTCATGGGATTACACTTCCTCAAGGACTACACCGTCAAGCTAGGTTCCTCAAGAAGAAGTTTTGTGATTGGTGTTGAAGTCATTCTTGCATTTTTATCAATTTTTTCATTTAGTAGTCCCAAAACATTAATAAGAGTGTTACTATGTACTATATAATTGTCCAATCTCATCTGCAAGTAACTGTCATCTTTTTTGGCCACTAGAGGATACTCTAAATGGACATCAGCTCAGACGAAGAGAGTCAAGACAGCAATAGTGCATAAATGGTTTCAAGATCAACCACAAAACTTCTTTCGAGGAAGCCAGGCATTAATGCAACGTTGGAACAATTGTGTTGAATGTAATGAGGATTACACATAGATTGACATACACATTGCTTTTACAAGACAAGTTTTGTTTATTGTTTCTGAATTCTATAATGAAGTTAATGGAATCTAAATATGTAAATCAGAAGCTTTCTGGTTAGTGATTTCTTCATGTCATGCAAAATATTTCCAAAGTGGACAGTATTCCTTCATGAACATTATAAAGAATATTCGAATAGACAATACTCTGTTTGGATACTAATATTCATTTAAAGTTGTTCCATTGTTGAAGTATAATTAGAGCAAGTGCACATTTAACAGAAAATTCCCACTCTAAACATTCAATTACCTAATCATTTGTCGCTTCACATATGCAGTTTTTATGCACGTATTGCATCAGGAGTTTTACATTGCACCCTACCAGTTTTAACAAGTTCTCATTAACAAATTCTTTACCTTTAGGCACTTGTTGTTACAGAATTATTTCTCTTATTGCTTAGGCTAATAAGGTAGCAGGAGGACCACCGGCAACCAGTGCACCACCGCCACCAACGTTGATTAACAAGATTAAATATCAGCCTGGCGGTCCTGTGATTAAGAAGGACAAACGGCAAAGTAGTTCAAGATTTAACATATCGAAAAATCGCGAACTCCAAAAGTTGGCGCCCTTATCCGGTAAGTCGCCGAAATAAATTTTGTTGCATGAATTCAATAAAAACTTCTCAGTTACAATTAATTAAAGAGATACGCAGTAGTCAATATTATGCCGGTATAACCTACTACACTGTGCCCTCAGTTTAATGAATGTAGTTGTAATGCTACTATATTCACTTATATTATTATAAGTGAATATTTCGTTAGAATAAAAATATAATGCACTGTTTGTAGTTAACAATATTAGAAGTATTAAGGAAAAAAGTAAAAAAAAAAAAAAATGGCTTTTTCCCCTTTTCCTTTTTGTAAATTTTATTATGCGCTTAGTCTTTGGAACGACTTTGATCCGTCGTAAAAGTTCATTTTTGGTCTGATTTATGACGGGACAATTTCCCTGGAAGTTTCTCTCTGTGATAAATTCATCAAGACCTATTATTGATTCCAGTGGTCTACAGAGTAAACTACTCCGCTTTCTTCGGCAATGATTGCCACATAATGATTGATTAGTATAACAGTTCGCCAAAGTAGGAGTAATAAACGTTGTCATTATTATCCTCGCCAAGAATAAACCGCAATACACTTAATGAATGCAGCGAGGGTATAACCGAGTATAGTTCCCTATCGCTGCTTTATGTAAGCTAGGTTGCAGCGCACTTTGATGTTTCAATGATTTTCCGTGTTGCGAAATCGTTCGACACTCCCGATATTTGGAAGTGTTCCAAATTCTTTATTAGATGAAACAAAATATTATTCGATGAAGGATTTTTATTAAAAAAAAAAAAAAAAAAAGCATTTAGTAAGGATTGGCATAGGGGATTAATGTTGTCATTTCAATTAAAATTTCACGGCGCGTAGAATTCACCCGCTGAGGTTTAAGCGTTAAGAGGATTTAAAAACTTCATGAACCGATTATGATCTATAAGTACGTGTCAACTAAAATATGCAATTGAACCATATTTCTGACTTGTTGGTGATTTTTATTCAAATTTTATTGTTTATGTGTAAATCAAATGGTCATTTATTTTTCTACAAAAAATTTTGCAACGTGTGAGAAAAGTATTCAATAAAGAACGTGAACGAAAGTGAAGTTTAATCACGAACAAAAATAAACAACCAAAATAAGTGAGAGCTAAAAAAGTGAAGGGTAATACACATTGATTGTTATCGATTGAACCGGGAAAACCTTATCCAGAGAACACGAATCTGTGGGGAAATGGCCAACAGAGGGCAGCACTTAAGAGATCGATATGTCGATCGGAAATTTGTAAAAATTTTCGTTCGATTAACATATTTTGACTAATCTATATGGATACAAAGAACCATTAATATCACCTTGACAATTAATATTCTATACAGATCAAGTTAAATTGCATTTCTGGAATTAAACATCAATAATATTCAACAACCCTGTTGCAATTTTTAATAAGCTACAATGTCAAATACCCCCATATACAACCACACCAATTAACCCCTATAAAAAATCAAACTTTATTATTGTGTTTATTTTGAAACTGAAACTGTGTCTGTTATTCGAAAAAAAACGAATTAATTAGTTACTTTTGCTTTTTAATCCCGGTCGCAGAGGATTGCGAAAGCAGCTACGTCAGAACGTATCGATTGCGAGGCGCGGTGGTTCACGCATGCGCGCACCCGTCACTCGCGATTCCCACTTTTCTAACGTAAACAGTCTTTCCCCGTTCAAACGGCCCTCGATATCGGCGGCATTTTCTCCATTCGAATTCTCATTTCTCCCGTTTCTCGACAATATCCGCATAAGACCGGTCGGTTCGGCGACGATACGTACAGGGATTATCGGGACGTCGTACGAAATCGGGACATGCCTGGTTTTCGTCCGAAAGAACGGCCAGTTACGTCGAAGCAACAGATTGTTATGTGAACAAGG